ACTTGATGCTCAGGTGTCGGTGGTGGCCGGGAGGGCCTTCACACAACTAAAACTCGTGCTGCGACCATACTTCGTCAAGTCTGACTTGACCACGGTGGTCCATGCCTTAGTTACCTCTAGACTGGATTATTGCAATGCACTCTACGTGGGGCTTCCCTTGAAGATGACCTGGAAACTTCAATTGGTCCAACGTTCAGCAGCGAATTACAGGGAGTGGTCAACCCCTCTGTTTAAGGAGCTCCACTGGCTACCTTCGTAGCCACATCTCCTACCACCAATCTGCACGATCCCTCCGATCCTCTGGGGAGGCCCTCCTTTTGCCTCTTCCTTTATCACAGTCAAGACTTGTGGGAACGAGGGAGAAAGCTCCCCATCTTTGGAACTCACTACCTGGTGAGATTAGGCAAGCCCCCTCCTTAGCAGACTTCAAGAAAAACTTGAAAACCTGGTTCTTCTGATGTGCCTTTGGAGAGTGATCATTTATCCCACTTCTGTTTGCCCCATCTATAGTGTTGCCCCTATGATGCACTTTCTCCAGTCCTAAACTGAAAGCCTTTCCCCACTGTTTTATCCTTCTTGGGCTCCCCTCACTTACACATTTTCTATTCCTACCTCACCCAGGGTTTTATCATTTTATCTTGTCCATTTGGCCTGCCCATCCTGTTTGATTTTATATTGTGAGAATTTGCTTTATTATTTTATTTTGCTACTGTAATTATTTTCTGATGTAATTTTTGTTCTTTGCATTCTGTATTTTATTGTGTTGTATTGTATTTTTGGGCTTGGCCTCATGTTAGCTGCCCCGAGTCCCCATTGGGGAGATGGTGGCAGGTTATAAATAAAGATTATTATTATTTTACTGACACAAAAACATAGTATGTCACAGCAAACAAGATCTATATGCTGGATTTCGTATCACAAAATCACAAGTTGAACACTTCCCAAGCGTCTAGGACTATTATTATTTCACTGACACAAAAACACAGTATGTCACAGCAAACGAGATCTATATGCTGGATTTCGTATCAAAAAATCACAAGTCGAACACTTCCCAAGCGTCTAGGACTGTGTGATGTATTTTCGAATGATTCGCGCAGATCCAAGTAAGGTGGCCTTTTGCAGTTGACAGGTCATGATTTTGTCAATGTTTATTGTTTCCAAATGCCAGCTGAGATCTTTTGGCACGGCACCCAGTGTGCCAATGACCACTGGGACTACCTGTACTAGTTTATGCCAGAGCCTTTACAGTTCAATTTTGAAGTCTTGATAATGGCTGAGTTTTTCCTATTGTTTTTCGTCAGTTTGGCTGTCACCTGCTATGGCGACATCAATATTCCAAACTTTTTTTCTTTTCCATAATCGTGATGTCTGGCGTATTGTGTTCCAAAACTTTGTTAGTCTGGATTCGAAAGTCCCACAGTATTTTTGCATGTTTATTTTCCACTACCTTTGCAGGTTTGTGATCCCACCAATTTTTTACAGCTGGTAGGTGGTACTTGTGAAACATGTTCCAGTGAATCATTTGGGCCACAGAGTTGTGTCTTTGTTTGTAGTCCGTCTGTGCAATTTTCTTGCAACAGCTGAAGATATGGTCCATGGTTTCATCAGGTTCCTTGCACAGTGCATTTTGGGTCATCCACTGATTTTTTGATCCTGGCCTTAACGGCATTGGTTCTGATGGCTTGCTCCCGGGCTGCAAGAATCAGGCCTTCTGTCTCCTTCTTCATGGATCCACTCGTGAACCATCACCAGGTCTTCTCCTTGTCAACTTTTCCTTCAATTTTGTCAAGGAACTGCCCATGCAATTATTATTATTATTATTATTATTATTATTATTATTATTATTATTATTATTAGCCATTCCCTGCCATGCGTTGYTGTGGCCCTGTCTGGTGATCTGGAAAAAAAAAGTAATGAGAAAGTGTTGGTTTCTAATATATGCAATTTTTTATGCTTGTGGGTAAACAGCACTTCTTGCTGTTTCTTTGTCAGTGTTGATGTGGAGATTGTCTGGTTTGCCTACTCTGGAACATACAACATATAATTGTCCTTCTTTAGGGGTCCCTTTCAAATCTATGATACTATATCTCCRTGTACGTGAATCATATCGCTCTATCTATATCTATGGCTGGCTGGCTCTTTGTCAAGAGGGCTTTGATTACATTTTCTTGTCCTGGTGAAGGGAGTTGGACTGGATGGCCTTAAGTATTTTCTGTTGGTCATAGGGGTTCTGTGTGGGAAGTTTGCCCCAATTCTATCATTCGTGTGGTTCAGAATGCTCTTTGATTGTAGGAGAACTATAAATCCCAGTAACTACAACTCCCAAATGTCAAGGTCTATTTTCCCCAAACTCTGTGTTCGTAGTTGGGCATATGGAATATTCGTGCCAAGTTTGGTCCAGATCCATCATTGTTTGAGTCCACAGTGCTCTCTGGATGTAGGTGTTCTACAGCTCCCAAACTCAAGGTCAATGCCCACCAAACCCTTCTAGTATTTTCCGTTGGACATGGAAGTCCTGAGTGCCATGTTTGGTTCAATTCCATCATTGGTGGAGTTCAGAATGCTCTTCATTGTAGGTGAACTGTAAACCCCAGAAACTACAACACCCTGCGTTAGTAGGAGTCTGGTGGCCAAATTTGGCGGCGATTTGTCCAGTGGTTTTTGAGTTTTGTTAATCCCACAAACCAACATTACATTTTTATTTATATTGATTATTATTATTATTACCTCTTTAATTGTGTACTCCTTACATTGAAAGTAGTTTTTGTGCTCCAGAAACTTTGTTGTTTTTGTGTACACAAACTATGTTAAAATGGTGGAGACTCTACAACAGGAATGGGCAAATGTTTTGGACTTCAGCTCCCACAATTCCTAACTGCTGGTAGGATCCCTCCAGGCAGGAAGCAGCCAGGCTTTGAAGCTGCAGGGCCATTCTAGGTGGCCAATTGCAACATTCACACTTGCCTCAAGCAGACAGGAGTTCTTTCTCCCACCCTGGAGATTATTTCACATATATAAACCCCACTTGTCTAGTTTTCAAACAGATCTCACAACTTCAGAGGATGCCTGCTATAGATGTGGGCGAAACGTCAGGAGAGAATGGCTCGAGAGCAGTACGTGTGAAAAAGATCTTGGAGTCCTCGTGGACAACAAGTTAAACATGAGCCAATAATGTGATGTGGCGGCAAAAAAAGCCAATGGGATTTTGGCCTGCATCAATAGGAGCATAGTGTCTAGATCTAGGGAAGTAATGCTACCCCTCTATTCTGCTTTGGTTAGACCACACCTGGAATATTGTGTCCAATTCTGGGCACCACAATTCAAGAGAGATATTGACAAGCTGGAATGTGTCCAGAGGAGGGCGACTAAAATGATCAAGGGTCTGGAGAACAAGCCCGATGAGGAGCGGCTTAAGGAGCTGGGCATGTTTAGCCTGAAGAAGAGAAGGCTGAGAGGGGATATGATAGCCATGTATAAATATGTGAGAGGAAGCCACAGGGAGGAGGGAGCAAGCTTGTTTTCTGCTTCCCTGGAGACTAGGACGCAATGGAGCAATGGCTTCAAACTACAAGAGAGGAGATTCCGTCTGAACATGAGGAAGAACTTCCTGACTATTTATTTATTTGTCACCTCAGGATAACCAGTCAAATTATTTTACATTTCTAACAGAACAAAGCAAACAAACAGAAAAAACACAAAATGTGTGAGTTTGGCAGTTGGTTAAATGTCCTTTGTCCAGTATCTGGCCACTTGGAGTGCTTCTGGTGTTGCCGCAAGAAGGTCCTCCATTATGCATGTGGCTGGGCTCAGGTTGCATTGCAGCAGGTGGTCAGTGGTTTGCTCTTCTCCACACTCGCATGTCGAGGATTCCACTTTGTAGCCCCATTTCTGAAGGTTGGCTCTGCATCTCGTGGTGCCAGAGCGCAGTCTGTTCAGTGCCTTCCAAGTCGCCCAGTCCTCTGTGCCCAGGGGGGAGTCTCTCATTTGGTATCAGCCATTGGTTGAGGTTCTGGGTTTGAGCCTGCCACTTTTGGACTCTTGCTTGCTGGGGTGTTCCAGTGAGTGTCTCTGTGGATCTTAGAAAACTATGTCTGGATTTAAATTGTTGACGTGCTGGCTGATACCCAAACAGGGGGTGAGGTGGAGATGTCACTGCCTTGGTCCTTTCACTATTGGCTGCAACTTCCCAGCGGATGTCAGGTGGTGCAATACCGGCTAAGCAGTGTAATTTCTCCAGTGGTGTAGGGCACAGACACCCTGTGATAATGCAGCATGTCTCATTAAGAGCCACATCCACTGTTTTAATGTGGTGAGATGTGTTCCACACTGGGCATGCATACTCAGCAGCACAGTAGCACAGCGCAAGGGCAGATGTCTTCACTGTATCTGGTTGTGATCCCCAGGTTGTGCCAGTCAACTTTCGTACGATATTGTTTCTAGCACCCACTTTTTGCTTGATGTTCAGGCAGTGCTTCTTGACTGACTGTGAGAGCCATTCAGCAGTGGAACTCTCTGCGCTCGGTGTGGTGGAGGCTCCTTCTTTGGAAGCTTTTAAACAGAGGCTGGATGGCCATCTGTCAGGGGTGATTTGAATGCAATATTCCTGCTTCTTGGCAGAATGGGGTTGGACTGGATGGCCCATGAGGTCTCTTCCAACTCTTTGATTCTGTGATTCTATGATTCTGGAACATGGCCATACAGCCTAGGAAACTCAAAGCAGCCCAGCCAGTAGGCTGTTAGGAATTGTGGGAGTTGGAGTCCAAAACACACTTTGCCAATGCCTGATCTAGTGTTGTTATTATTATGAGCCTTCCCTTTTGCTCTAGCCTCTAGCGCCCCACAGTGGCCGATAGTGGGAAGTGAAGGGATTTGATTGGTAGGGAGGCTACCCACGCAACTCAACACTGGCGATTTGATTGGTTAGAGGGCCGTCGCCATAGCAACCCTCCACGGCCTAGTCGGTCGCTAGGGCCAAAACGAAGCCTGCCGTGGAGTAGTTGATGCAGTGGCGAATCTCGGGAGAGAGGGCGGCTCCTTCCTCCGTCTGGGCGGAGCCGGCCGCGGATTTCATCATGCTGGGGGCCGGGCCTCGTCCTCTTCCAGCGGCGGCGCTGCTGCTTCTCCATGCCGTGGGCCCTTAGCCGCTGCCGCCGCCTCCTCCTCCTCGCCCTCCGCAAGCGCCGGCCCTTCGCTCCCTTCGCCTCCTCCGCGCTGCTTCACTCCGCCGGCAGGCCCCGCGTGGCTGCTTCCCACCCCAGCATGGACGGCCTTCCCGCCGCCGAGGCGCTCCTGGCCCCGCTCCGCCAGGCCGTGCGGCAGCAGGTGAGCACAGAGCGGAGGCAGGACTAGGAAAGGCCCCGGTTGGGGATAGAGGGAGCAGGCCCGAGAGGCAAGGAAGGGCAGCCCGGGCCTACGAGGCACAACACGCCCTGTGTCTAGTGTCTCGTCCAGTGTGAGCTAGGCAAGGCTATACTGTTGGGTAGATCTGTAATTGAGGCTACACTAATAATATAATATAATATATTGTATATACATATAAGTTATAATATTACAATGTAATACAATGTCAGACTACACAGAGAAGCCATTGAAATACACAAGCATGTGGACAATTTCAACAGAAAGGAAGAGACCATGAAAATGAACAAAATCTGGCTACCAGTATTAAAAAACTCTAAAATTACAACAACAAAACAACAGATTAACACCTCCCAGCAAGAGATTTTCCCATGCTCAGGCAGGCCTTCAAATGCTAATGAAGGTGATCAGCTGAAACATTCACGCCTAGCTCCAGCAGAGAAGAGTCCTTTGCCCCACCCCAGTCATTCCACAGATATATAAACCCATTTTCCTAATTCCAACAGACCTCACTACCTCTGAGGATGCTTGCCATAGATGCAGGCGAAACGTCAGGAGAAAATGCCTCTAGAACATGGCTCTATAGCCCGAAAAAACCCACAAGAACCTAGTGATTCCAGCCATGAAAGCCTTCGACAATACAATACAATATTATGATTATATATTATATATATTACAATATAATGGTGTAGTACAATATCTATATAAATAAAAATGTAATGTTCGTTTGTGGGAGTAACGTAACTAAAAAACCACTGAGCGAATTGACACCAAATTTGGACAGCGTATACTTAACAAAATGAACAAAATCTGGCTACCAGTATTAAAAAACTCTAAAATTACAACAGCACAACAACAGAGAGGAAACAACCAGGCACATCTTAACACCTCCCAGCAATGTATGTCCTTCACTCAAAAAATTTTGATTTTGTCATTTGGGAGTTGTAGTTTCTGGGATTTATAGTTAGCCTACAATCAAAGAGCATTCTGAACTCCATCAATGATGGAATTGAACCAAACATGGTACACAGAACTCCCATGACCAACAGAAAATACTAGAAGGGTTTGGTGGGCATTGACCTTTAGTTTGGGAGTTGTAGTTCACCTACATCCAGACAGTACTGTGGACTCAATGATGGATCTAGACCAATGATGGGCAATCTTTTGAGCTTTGTGTGTCAATACTTGCCAAAAAAACGAGCATAACTCGGGTGGGGTGTCACTTCGAGAAAAAAACCATAAAATCATGATATTTATAGTTTAATAACAAAAATATATTATTGTAATATATAACTGTATTTAATAAACCAAAAACTAATTATTTAACTTACTTGCTTTTTCTATAATGCCGTATATCTCGGCATTATAGAAAAATGCTGGTGTAGGAGCCGAGGATGAAGTGTCCTTCTTGGGATGCGGCCCCATCTTCTCTGTTTGCGACCGTGTGTCATCGAAAATGGCTACGCGTGTCAGTGCTGACACACGTGTCATAGGTTCGCCATCATGGATCTAGACCAAACTTGGCACAAACACGCAATACGCCCAAATATGTAGACAGGTGGAGTTCGGGTGAAATAGACCTTGATATTTGGGAGTTGTAGTCACTGGGATTCACAGTTCACCTACAATCAAAGAGCATTCTGAACCCCACAAACGACAGAATCGGGGCAAACTTCCCACACAGAACCCCCATGACCAACAGAAAATACTTAAGGCCATCCAGTCCAACTCCCTTCACCAGGGTAAGAAAACGTAATCAAAGCCCTCCTGACAAAGAGCCATCCAGCCATAGATAATAAATACATAGATATGATTCACACAGAGAGATATATAGATTTGAAAGGGACCCCTAAAGAAAGACATTGATATGTTGCCTGTTCCAGAATAGGCAAACCAGAGAGTCTCCACATCAACAGTGACAAAGAAACAGCAAGAAGTGCTGTTTACTCACAAGCATAAAGAAATTGCATATATTAGAAACCAACACTTTTTCATTACTTTATTTTCCAGATCACCAGACTGGGCCACAGCAACGCGTGGCAGGGGATGGCTAGTAGTAATATATAATACTGAGATTGAACTATGCTGATAATTTAATATATTGTATGTATATATATCTTGTAAGTCCCTCAGAGTCCCCTTTCGGGGTGAGAAGGGCGGCATATAAATGTTGTAAATAAATAAATAATTGGTTAAGTGATCCAACCCAAAAGGTGATTCTCGCCATTGCATCCTCTTCATCCTGGAAAGAAGTGATTATTTGGTGCAATGAAGAGGGTTCACTCCTGGGTCCAGTGCTGGTTCAACATATTTATTAATGACTTGGATGAAGGTTTAGAGTGCTTCCTTATCCAGTTTGGAGATGACACCAAATTAGAAGGGAATGTTTTGGTGTATAGCTTCCAACAAGGACAAATGTAAGATACATGCTCTGGTTACATCACGTATAGACTACTGCAATGCGCTCTATGTGGGGCTGCCTTTGAAGACTGCCCAGAAGCTTGAAATGGTACAATGACCAGTACCCAGATTGCTAATAGGAGCTGCGCTCGGGGAGCACACAACTCCCCTGCTGCGTCAGCTCCACTGGCTGCCAGTCTCCTACCGGGCACAATTCAAAGTGCTGGCTTTAGCCTATAAAGCCCAAAACAATTCTGGCCCAACTTACCTATGTGAACGCATCTCCCCTTATGAACCCACCAGGACTTGAGATCGTCTGTGGAGGCCCTGCTCTCGGTCCCACCTTTGTCACAAGTGCATCTATCGGGAATGAGAGACAGGACCTTCTCAGTGGTGGAACGCCTTCCCTAGGGATATTAGATTGGCCCCTTCCCTTTTAACATTCCAAAAAAGTCAAAACTTGGCTTTTTGAGCAGGTGTTTGCGCAAATACAATATAACAGACATAGAGGAAAAAACGGAACGACTGAACGACGCTATTGGATAATGTTTTTAACAAGGAGACTCAAACTGATACATGTTTTTATTGATATTGTTTTATCTGGTTTTATATTTAATTAACTTTTTATTATATTTATGATGCTGACTGTACACCGCCCTAACTCGCCTGCGGGCTGAGAGGGGCAGTATATAAATGTAGTAAATAAATAAGCTGTTTAACAGTGGAACTCTCTGCTTTGGAATGTAGTGGAGGCTTAATGCCATATGTCAAGGATACTTTGATTGTGATTTTCCGATATGGCAGGGGGTTAGATTAGATGGCCCACGTGGCCTGTTCCAACTCTATTATTTTATGATTCTGTTAGACTCTGGGATCTCACATACATGGAATGTATAGTGTACAGTCATCACAAGTACACATATTAAAATGTGCCTCTATAAAAGCTATACACCAAAACATATCTCTATAAAATTAGCTTTGAGTAGCATAGGGCAGACACCCCTGTGGGTTTTCCTTTGCTCCCTGTGCCCCTGTTCAGGAGATTTCACTTCACTTTCGGTCCTGTAAGAGTTGGATTTTGAAAACATTGGCTTGTGGAAACAAGGATTGGAGGTAAAGCTTCAGTGGAAATGCATTTTCCCTTTCCTAGGTCTAGATTTCTCTCATTTTCTGTTGTCTCACCCTTGTTCTTAACTATGAGTTGTTTGTAAGTTGCATGTTTGTAAGTCTGGGACTGTCTGTATATCCAATATTGTCCTTGGATATAATATATATTGGACTCTGGAATCCCTCAAAGATATATCAAGCTAAATATATTACTATTGATACATATTTGGATACTGTATATGTGTGTGTGTGTGCGCGCGTGCGCGCGCGCGCGTGCGCGCGCGTGTGTGTATATATATATATATATATATATATATATATATATATGGGGGTATAATATAGATTATGCTTCATGCTCTATTTGGGTACCACCACCCATATATATATATATATACACACACACACACACACACACACACATTATCCCCGGGTATAACATATGTTGGACTCTGGCATTGAAAGGCCCCTTCTCATTAGCTACCTTTCATGATAGTAACTTAAGGATTTCTGTTTCAGTACCATATGATCTGCCATCCCTGCTCACTTGCCAGGGCTCTGCTTTATCAGCTTCTTTTACAGGATTTCTTCCCATTTTTCTTTAGTTTGTAGGGACATGTATGAACTCCTGAGAATGTAATAATGAGAACCCATGTTTTACACAGAACTGAGGTTGTTTGGAGCTCCCTGTGCACCTTTTACAGCCACTGCTGTCCTATCAGAATTGAGGCTGCAATCGTGTCTACACTTACTTAAGAGTCAGCTCCATTGAGCACAATTTGAATCCTCACTCAGCCATGAAAACCCACAGGGTGACCCTGAGCAAGTCACACATCCAGCTCTAGAAAACCATATGATAGGATCACTGTAGGATCCCCATAAGTCAGAATGACGTGAGTGCAGACAATAACAAACAAATACAGCATTGGGTCTCAGCTTTCCCATTCTTTCATCATCTAGCATGGCCTTTCATTCTTAAAGATTTGGGTCTTGGGGACATAACAGCCTGGCTTTCAGGCCCTTGCTTCACAGGATAAAGTTTTCTTGGTATTCTTGTTTAACTAGTTATGTACAAAAGATGTTGCTGAGTGTCAGTGGATGTGGCGTGTCTTAATTTTAAAAGGCTTTGGTTTTTGTGAATCATCATCATACATCATCCTAAATTACTTGTTTACAGGGAGCTTGGGTTAGATTAGATGGCCCTTGTGGTCCCTTCCAACTTTGTTAATATGATTCTTAGTGAATTGAATTTTACAAAGATCTCAGTAGCTTGTTGATGTAAACATGGTACATCTTTTAGTTGAAATAACCGTTTTTCATTTGGAGAATTGCTTAAAGGAAAACCAGAGATAGAAAGGGAGTTTGGGATGCCCAGGATATTAAAGAGAAGTGAAATTACTGAAGGAGAGGCTGAAAATTATCAGGGGTGACTCCTGCTGCCAATGAGCCTTCCCTCCTTCATCTGAGAAATCTGAAGCATTTTAATTATACCATTGAGGAGATCTCCTTGATCCTGTGATCATGCAGACTGGGCGGGTTAGGTTCTGCAGTAGTGCCTGATGCAATAAGCTGCTCCGCTTGAGGGGTGGATCCCTTCCCTTGTCATACGGGACAAAGCTGCAGTGAAATCTGCCACATCAGTGCTGCTCTGTTTCACTTTCATTGAGCTGGGCAGGTTTTCTCAAGTAAACTGTGGCCAGCCTTGCTTTTTTCCTATTCTTTGCCCCTTCCCAATCGGAGCTGGAGGATCTCTTTTTCTTGTCATTTGAAACTGAACATGCTGCGATGTCCTTCTTTTCCTTTCAGACTTAGTAACAACAATGGCAAACTTTCGCTTCCATTGTTCTGGAGCCCACAGCAGTTGGTTACTGGGGTTTTCTTCAGACCAAACACTCTTCTCGCTTTCGTGGTTTCCACTTGCTGTTGTGTGAGGTTTTTTTTTCATGAGTCCTTGTGCTCCCTCCCTTCTGCCACGTTAGCCTGCAGCCTCACTGAGTTTGAATAAAAAATTTAACTCTTAGAATGGGTCCTGCAAAGACGAGCATTTATTCATTTATTCTCTTGCTTCAGTCCCCACTTCATTTGTGGTCTGTTTCTTATCTGACTCCCTGCCCCTGATGTTTAACTTTGTAAAACCAGGGATTCCTTGAATATCTGACACTCCCCCCTCCCCAGTGTTTATACTTAGTTGGGGTGAAATGCTAAGATTTAAAGATCAATCTTTAAAAAAAAAAATCTTCATTTTTTTGTGGAGCAAAGAGTTGCAAGTTGGCATGAAAATTATTTTAATAATTTGAATTTCATTGCCTTTAAAGTAAGTGGAAAATTAGGTATGGAAAGTTGGACGCCAAACAGAGAAATGACAATATTGGAGAGTAATGGAGTTGATTGTTCTTTTAAATTGGTAGTTATGCTCCAGATAGATAAGTGTATCAGTCCATTTAGTTAGAATAATATCTCCTCCTGACAGTTCCTTCCATGGACTCATATACAATATTTTTGTGATATTTCCCTACCCCCCCCCCCCCCAATAATTCCCTCCCTGAGCAAGCTTTCTGGCATGCTGATTAAACCCCCATGTATTCCAGATAGCATTATCCTGCAAAACCCCACTTGGACAATTTGCTCTTTAGCATGTATTTCAGGGATTGTAATGTAGAACTGACAAGTATTATGGGTGGGTTGTTGTATATTTTCTGGGCTGTATGGCCATGTTCCAGAAGCATTCTCCTGACGTTTTGCCTGCATCTACGGCAGGCATTCACCCTTGAAATTACCATCACTGTGCAAAGGTTCTTCACAGTTTCCAATAGACCCCACAGCAACTGAGGATGCCTGTCATAGATGCAGGTGAAATGTCAGGAGAGAATGCTTCTGAAACATGGCCATACAGCCTGGAAAACTCACAACAATTCAATGATTCCTGCCATGAAAGCCTTCAACAGTATTATGGGTGTTAACAGACAGATTTTACTGGTTGAATCTGGTACCTAACAGATTTTATAGTTTGAACCTGGAACTATTTTTCTTTGGCAAAGCATGCATGAAATCTTCCAGTACCTTTGAACATATGGGATAAGATAAGTTGTCAGTCAGAGACTCAGTCTTACAGATGTTTCTGTCTTCTCCTTTGCTGTAGTGCTTTGTTTTTGAATTATGTATTTGCTACTGGAGAGTCCCTCAGTTACTGAAAATAGCCCAGTTTCTGTTCCCATTCACAGATTTCTGTTCCCTTTCACAGTTGTGTTTCTTCATGGGAATCTTCTTCCATCATCTTACCTTGGGCAATTAATTCCACCATATTAAGAAAGTAATTGTGGAATTCCTTTCCCTTCAGATCCACATTTTTGTGAGTTTAAGTGGCTGAGAAATGCTGTTTCCTTTGGCAGTAACAGCCTGTACCACCATTTATGGGATTTTGTTTGAATTGAATACATATCTGACCCATTGACAATTCTTCTAGGGAGAACTTGTTCGAAAATTGAAGGAAGAAAAGGCTCCTCAGGTGGATGTAGACAGAGCAGTGGCTGAACTCAAGGCTCGGAAGAGAATCCTAGAAGCAAAGGTGAGTCTTGAGAGTCAATTTTTTGATAGCTTTTGTTTCCTCTCTTTTCCCAAAACAAATGAACCAGTTACTTTAAACTGTGGCTTAGTGTTATAAGCGTGAAACACAACTCACCTTGGCTTCACACACTATCCTACTTCTGTTTTTCAGGAACTTGCTTTGCAGCCTAAGGATGATATAGTAGACAGAGCAAAAATGGAAGATACCCTGAAGCGAAGATTTTTCTATGATCAGGCCTTTTCTATTTATGGAGGTACATATTTAATGACTTTAGCTGCTCTTCTAAGATCTTTGGGGAATATTTTTCGGATTATTATTCTCAAGTTTGTAGTCATTTGCCCCAATAAAATGCAACGTACAGATTTAAATGGATGACTGAGTCATAAAGTAAGCAGTAAAAATAGAAATCATTAGATAAGAGCAACAAAATGGAAATGTGAGTATCGTTAAGAGTTTTGTGGTAATTCACTGGTGTCATCACATAAAACGTAGCTAATCTTGCTATACTACTACAATTAGCAAGTGGATGATGCCAGTGAGTAGCCATGAAAAAATGTTGTAGACACTTTCAAAGATGAGGCAATAAAATGCACTAGAAACGTAGCGAGCATTTTGCATTGAGTTTAATGGGACTTATTCCTTGGTAAATCTGCATAAGATTAGGATGAAATGAATTCTTCTCAATGAGGACAATTACGAAATATTACATTAGCATCTGTATAGAACAATCCGTACAAACATTTTTATAAAACAAGTGAAAGGTCTCAGAGGGACGATGAAGAGTTCTGGTGAGGACATTTCTCATCGAGGAGTCTATGTTTAAAATATGTTATGATTATGAAGCCATGTTAAAATTAAACATAAGCAACAAATCACATTTGATAACTACAACATTATTATATGCCTTACCATTACATTCTTTCCTTTGCCACATCCAGTTTTCCACATAAAGATATTCTATTGAAATGAAATAAATGAAATAAATTTGACTGATTTGTTTGACCACGTAACTTAGCTGGAGGAGCTTATTTGCAGTTGTTTGTGTTGTTGTTTTTTGTCGTGTCGGGAGCGACTTGAGAAACTGCAAGTCACTTCTGGTGTGAGAGAATTGGCTATCTGCAAGGATGTTGCCCAGGGGACGCCTGGTTGATTTGATGTTTTTATCATCCTTGTGGGAGGCTTCTCTCATTTCCCTGCAGGAGGAGCTGGAGCTGACAGAGGGAGCTCATCCGCCTCTCCCCAGATTCGAACCTGCGACCTGTTGGTCTTCAGTCCTGCCGGCTCAGGGGTTTAACTTGTTTGTGATGAAAAGTTGAGATTAATCTAGTAGCAAAAGAGACTCAGGCAAATCTTCATCCTGTTTAAACTTCACGGACAGCCAAAATTTGCAAGATTTGTGAACTCAGGGTGAGGATTCTGGGTGAAAAATGTTAATAGTAAAGATAACAGTTTCTTTGCCATGCAGGTGTGAGTGGCCTGTATGATTTTGGTCCAGTTGGGTGTGCTTTGAAGAATAACATAATTCAAGCCTGGAGGCAGCACTTTATCCAGGAAGAGCAGATTCTTGAGATTGACTGCACCATGCTCACACCAGAATCTGTTCTGAAGTAAGTGCTAGACCCTTTGTATGTGTTTACCTCCTTCGCAGTAGTAACCAAACTGCTTGGAGACCCCATTCTTTTCTTTAGTTTAACATAAGAAGTAAAGATAGAAGGGAGGAATACAATATGTTTCGGACTTTACTAACTTATTCTGGGACAAACTTTCGTACGTATTCATCTACATCTTTAGATACACTGACAGAGGTTTTATGGGAGAGAAATAGAATGTAATAGGATATTATTGTTACTGTATGCTCTCAAGTTGTTTCTGAATTACAGAGGTCCTATGGCAAACATATCATCGCTTGGGTGTGTGTGTGTGCTAAGAATGTGTTACTTGCACATAATTCACTTAGTGACAGTAAGCAAATAGCATTTTCCTCAGTTTTAATCTCTCATCTAGCAATTGGGAAAATGTATTGGAACTGCGTTACTATATCCACGTGTTTTGTATTTTTAAAGTAACATTCCCAATAAGAGTGTAAGTCAGATCTTTATAAGTCAGGGACTTCCGGTATCTTTAAAAAAGGAATATACAGTAGAGTGGGACCCAAATCACTGTTAACGAAAAGATTTGTAGTTTTCGGAGGGCCGTTTTCGTGTAATTTCCGAAAACAAAAGGGGGAAGAGAGAGATGAAAAGACCAGTGAAACAAATTCAGAGAGACAATATTTTTGGAAAGACTTAAGTCCACAAAATACCCGAGGCAGGGAGATCTGTGACTTTTTTCTCTCCCTGGCAGAAGAAGCCTCCTCCATTTTTTTCTTGGAAAGTTATCTCCTCCATAGAGGCCCTTAGAACTCGCTTTCCCAGTGGCACTAGCATAGGGTGGCAATTAAAAGTTCCTCAGAGCATGTTGGGAGTTGAAGTTTCTCTCTGTGTGTGTCCTTCACCCAATAAAAAGCTTGGTAGTGTCCATGCTCTGATTGGCTAAGGATGAACATAACTAACGACTACAATTCCCAGAATGCTCTCTTGCAGTTTATCTTATTTTTTAAAAATGTTATGTTTAAAACTTAAAACAATTCTTAAAAATCAGTAGGTTGGTGAATTGTTTTGAAACTTGGTAGGCTTGCAGTTATAATCAGGGTCTACAACTGAGGTAGGTTTCATGAAGATAGGCATTAAAATGGCTGAGATATGAGCCTGTAAAGTTTCCCATTGTAGCCAATGGGCCAAATCTCTGACGAATGAAATGGAAAACACCCCTCCCCATTTAGGTAACTTTCTGGTAAACAAAATTAGGGGTCAGACAAAAACGGACATAAGAACTGTATGCCTTTTGGCCCAAATGCACATGACTAATATACAGTATATATGTTCCCTTTAAAAGAAAAGCATCATTTTTTTCATACTTGTTAGAGAGATCTGTTTCTCACTTTGAGAACCCACCTCCATAGCTGATTGTTAATTCATTGACTATTTTTCCCTCAGTGTGTCTGAAGAAGTGGGTAGATATCTATGAATGCTCAAACTAGAATACATCAGTCTTAAAGACTACATTTAATCTCCAGCTCTATTTTCTGGTTTTTATGCTGCAACAAACTAATTCCACTATATCTTTGAAAACCATTTTTTACTGTTCATTGTCTTCTGCTATATATATACATTGTTGAGAAGATGTCTCTATACTGCTTAGGACAATCCTGATTTCTTTCATTGTAGGACCTCTGGCCATGTAGACAAATTTGCAGATTTCATGGTGAAGGATGTGAAAAATGGGGAGTGCTTTCGAGCTGATCATCTCCTTAAAGGTATGTTGTGTTGTAGGACTGGTTGGATATATTGCATCCTATTGGCTTACCTTGTCTTAGCAGGAGATGATTTGATGAACAGATTTCTTGAAAGTTTTCAAGGTCTTCCCTACCAAAGTAGTTGATGTGATAAGCAGATCCATCTTCAGATCTCCTTTCCCATCTACTCTCCCTTTACAGCTCTCAGGGCTACAAGCCAACCTACTTCCTTAGCGTCTGGTTTTTGGGGAAACGGCTCTTCCTTCTGTGTTTGGTGGAAATTAAATTAGTGGGAAAAATTGGTTTGTATTGCCTGAAAATTATCTTTGGAAAGTTCAGTGGAAGAATGTATTCTTGTCTTATTTACTCTTGATTACCTGGCTCATATCTTTATGCTCCTCCATCTCCCACCAGTTTTCAGTACTGCCAGGTTTTTAGGGTACACCCACTTAGCTTGGTATTCTTCCTTTCTTGCGTTGCTCTGCCCGGACAGTGATATAATGATCATTGTTAAAAGCTTAAAGCATTTTAAAAAACAGACTAGTAACATCTAAAAGACTAAAACTTCTATGTGGCATATGTTTTAATGGATTACAATTTGCTTTATTGGCTTGCTGGAATATTACTACCATTGAGCTGCAGTTCTCAAAAACTTTATGTTAAGGAAAAGCTACTATGACTGTTCTAAGGTGCAGAGTGACTGGTTTTTTTTGTTGTTATTTTACTGCCACATGACTCTTAGTCTGTCTTAATGTCAGTCTTTGTGTTCTAGTTGATTTAATCTTGCATTTGGACAGCTTTTGCTCATTTGTTCAGTCGTTTCCGACTCTTCATGACCTCATGGACCAGCCCACGCTAGAGCTCCCTGTTGGCCGTTACCACCCCTAGCTCCTTCAAGGTCAATGCAGTCACTTCAAGGATCTCATCTATCCATCTTGCCCTTGGTCGGCCCCTCTTCCTTTTTCCTTCCATTTTTTCCAGCATAATTTTCCTCTCTAGCTTTCCTTTCTTCTCATGATGTGGCCACAGTGCTTCATCTTTGCCTCTAATATCCTTCCCTCCAATGAGCAGTCGGGCTTTATTTCCTGAAGTACGGACTGGTGGGATCTTCTCGCAGTCCAAGGCACTCTCAGAACTTTCCTCCAGCACCACAGTTCAAAAGCATCTTTTAATACTATCAAACTATTAAACATGATGTGTTGCCTATCCTGATAAAAATCCCAAAGAAAGTGAAGGTTTGGCTATTGTGCAAAGTCCTCTCTTGGAAGGGGACAGGTGGGTGTAATGCTGTTGTGGTTCAGCCACATGAAGATGAGAGGTTTTGAGGTTCAGGGCCTGATGATTCTGTAGGTGAGCAAAATGGTTCTGTAGATGAGAGAACGGAGGGATTTTGGAACAAGATGCTTTTGCTGAGACACAGTGTGAAAGTGGAACTGTTTTTGGAATCCAACAGGCAGGGAGAGGAGGACAACATTAGCTCATCCAAGGGAACAGCTAGCTTAGACAGACATACCAGGCTGCTTCTGAGGGGACAGAGATTCAGGTGCAGGAAAATTCGTGAGAAAGAGAGGCAGGTCTTTCAAGGTCAAAGGAATGTGTTCATCTTTTGCAGTCCTTAAATTAGTGAGAGAGCAATGTCGCTACTGTAGTGAGGAATGCCTGTCTCGTGCCTAGTTCATACCCAGAGACTAAAATGTAATGGTGGAGGACATCGCTAAGGATAGTTCTGCCTCCAATCCTAGAAATCTGAAGCAGGTTTTGCCATGAAGTGTTGCAAAATTATAGGAAAAAGGGGGTATTCTAATGTTTGCAGAGTAGTCCTGCCTGGCCTTGCTATTACATTCATGATCTGAGATTATGGCCAAGAAGATGGCCAGATTTTCCCCAAGACTGCTTTACAGGGAAGGTCAGTCGGGATAGCTAAGGGTCCTCTTTCTGTCATTACTGAACCCTGTTTGAAAAATGGCTGCTCTAGTTTATAATTTGCATTTTGATGACTTGACTGCTAGCTTCGATGTTTCCGTCTCTCTTTGTTCTGCAGCTCACTTACAGAAGCTGATGTCTGACAAGAAGTGTACAGCAGAGAAAAAGACTGAGATGGAGAATGTGCTAACACAGGTCAGTTGGTGATTTGGCCATGGAAGGGGATGGGTGCAGGCATACTTCTTTTCCACTGCCCTTGAAACTAGGACTAGGAGCAATGAGTTCAAATTACAGGAACGGAGATTCCACCTGAACATTAGGAATAACTTTCTGACCTCATGAGTTGTTCAACAGTGGAACTTTCTGCCTTGGAGTGTGGTGGAAGTTTCTTCCCTGGAAACTTTTAAACATAGGCCTGATGACTATCTGTCAGGGATACTTTAATTGTGCTTTTCCTATATGATCCATGTGGTCTCTTCCAACTCTATGATTCTATGAAATGGGATTGTGTTCATAAGGAGCATGGAAGCCCACTTGCACTGTGACATCTATTGTGGCACTGTCAACTTGACCTGACAGAGTCTTTTCTATATGTTATTCCCTCCTTGGTCTCCATCCATGCTCTAACCAAACCCTTCTAACCTTCTGAAATCAAAGGAATGTAACTGGTTAAGAGGGGAAAGCCATTTATATATATTTACGTGTATCTGTTTGTCTGGTGTTACAGAGATGACGAGGTGGATAGAAAATAGACCCCGCTGTCACTACCATTGCTAACCTGAATGTTTTTCATGTTCTTTTTTCTAGCTGGACAACTATGGCCAGGAAGAGCTCGCAGACCTGTTCATGAATTACAACGTGAAGTCTCCTACTACAGGAAATGATCTCTCTCCTCCTGTATCATTCAACCTTATGTTCAAGACCTCAATTGGACCAGGAGGAAACATGCCAGGGTAAGTTAAATGTGGAAGCTGACACCTTTCTGACACTTTCTGTGCTTGGTGAGAATATGCTGGCGCATGCCACAACTGAATGTATTCCTGTTTCCATGCGATCTGTTTCTACCCAGTCATCTCTCACCCTCCTCTAAAGGAGCCTTGGGAAAATCTTGGACTCATTTAATAGAAAGCAGTTGAGCACCCCAACATTGATGCAGAAGAAGAACCAGGGCTGCAGCTATCTATGTCTTAAGCCTGACCATTACAAGATGCTATCTTATTTCTTAAGCTTACACTATGGAGCTGCTGGTGGCGCAGTGGGTTAAACCCCTGTGCCGGCAGGACTGAAGACAGACAGGTCGCAGGTTCGAATCCGGGGAGAGGCGGATGAGCTCCCTCTATCAGCTCCAGCTCCTCATGCGGGGACATGAGAGAAACCTCCCATAAGGAAGATAAAAACATCAAATCATCCAGGCGTCCCCTGGGCAGCGTCCTTGCAGATAGCCAATTCTCTCACACCAGAAGCGACTTGCAGTTTTTCAAGTCGCTCCTGACACGACAAAAAAAAAACAATCCAAATGTAGGAGCAAGAATGTTTAGAAGTGTTGGCCTTGTCATAAATGTGAGCATGCCTGCAAAGGGTAGCGGAAGGCTGAGGACATGAACCTTCATTGCAGCCAAGTCAATTAAGGTCAGCCTAGATAGAAATTCAGTCTGATCCCAAGTGGGCTGGCTTCCATTATGTTGTCCATTTTCATGGGAATTAGTTGTGTTTACTGTCAGCCAAGTTGTTTTCCTCCCTCCTAGTCATTATTAATTGTATCATGTTTGTTTTTCTATGTTTGAAGTTATCTGAGGCCAGAAACGGCACAGGGGATCTTCCTGAACTTCAAACGCCTTTTGGAATTCAACCAAGGCAAGCTGCCTTTTGCTGCGGCTCAGATTGGAAATTCCTTCAGGAACGAGATCTCTCCTCGCTCAGGCCTCATCAGAGTCAGGTACTGCAAGCATTCCCTTTTGAACAAGAATATGGGAAAGGGATTTTCCACCTATAGCCATGGCAGAGAAAATATATTAATCAAAAGTGTTTGGTGAACCATCCTCATATAGAATCATAAAATCAAAGAGTTGGAAGAGACCTCATGGGCCATCCAGTCCAACCCCCTGCCAAGAAGCAGGAATATTGCATTCAAATCACCCCTGACAGATGGCCATCCAGCCCCTTTTTAAAAGCTTCCAAAGAAGGCGCCTCCACCACACTCCGGGGCAGAGAGTTCCACTGCTGAACGGCTCTCACAGTCAGGAAGTTCTTCCTCATGTTCAGATGGAATCTCCTCTCTTATAGTTTGAAGCCATTGTTCCGCGTCCTAGTCTCCAAGGAAGCAGAAAACAAGCTTGCTCCCTCCTCCCTGCAGTCCCCCCAAGTCTTCCTGCAGTCCCCCCCAAGTCATGACCTCTCCTTTTTGTCAGTCAAGATGGTGATATTGTAGTCTTAGAAGTTTTACAACTCATCTGTATTAATGTACATGCAGAACTGTATGTAACTCTCCGGTGTTAACTTTGCCAGGTTCCCTAGAAATAAGTGATTCCAGATCCATTCAGAAATCCTCAGACTTCCAGACACATTGTCATTTCCTCCCTCATCCCTTTCATGTCAGAAGGGAATATAAAGCATGTAGTGATGGAGATAAAATGGAGGAGGTAATAATTACTAAGGTGTATGCTGTGAAGTGCCATATACTTAGCTCCACTCCCCTGTGGGTGGGTTCTTTCCAATCTAGGGCAATTTAAATTGCAAAGATAAATAGTGATTTAAATAACTGACTTAAAACAGGGCCTTTTCAAAGCGCTATCAGTATTTCCAAATTTGGGGCATCCTTTGTTAATCAGTGCAGAAGTAAAATAGGATGATGCAGAGGGTTGGCAGTGGTTTCTGTGCAATATTTAGTCATATATTTTGTACTAAAAGAGGAAATGATTGTGTAATGTATATAGTTCCTTGACCTTTTTAGTGTTTGAATGACAAATAAAGGGAACCAGAGCTTCCCTATTTAGATGAAGGATTAGGCATGATCATCAAGTTTGCAGACGACACCAAATTGGGAGGGATGGCCAATACTCCAGAAGACAGGAGCAGAATTCAAAACGATCTTGACAGATTAGAGAGATGATTGGCCAAAACTAACACAATGAAGTTTAACAGGGGAAAATGCAAAATACTCCTCTTAAGAAGAAAAAAATTAAATGCAGAGATAAAGAATCGGGGAGGGGGTGCCTAGCTCGACAGCAGGACGTGGGAAAAAGATATCGGAGTCCTCGTGAACAACAAATTAAACATGACCCAATAATGTCATGCAGCAGCTTTAAAAGCCAATGGGATTTTGGCCTGCATAAATAGGAGTCTAGTGTCTAGATCCAGAGAAGTCATGCTTCCCCTCTTTTCACAGTGTGTCCAGTTCTGGGGACCACAATTGACGGGAGATGTTGATAAACTGGAATGTGTCCAGAGGAGTGCGAGTCAAATGATAAAGGGTCTGGAGAACAAGCCCTATGAGGAGCAGCTTAAACAACTGGCATGTTTAGCTCGCAGAAGAGAAGGCTGAGTGGAAACATGATGGCCGTGTATCGTGATGTGAGGGGAAATTATAGGAGGAGGGACTAAGCTTGTTTTCTGCTGCCCTGGAGACTAGGACGCAATGGAGCAATGGCTTCAAACTACAAGAAAGGAGTTTCCACCTGAACATGAGGAAGAACTTCCTGATAGTGAGAGCTGTTCAGCAGTGGAACTCTTTGGAAGCCTTTAAACAGAGTCTGGATGGCTATCTGTCGGTGGTGCTTTGAATGCGATTTTACTCTTTTTGGCAGGGGGTTGGATTGGATGGCCCACCAGGTCTCTTCAAACTTAGGATTCTATGATTCCTCCCAGAACAAGGCTGGATAGTGACTGTTTCAATTGTTAGATTTGCCCTGATATAGCCTTAGTACAGGAATAGGCAAACTTCTGCCCTCCAGGTGTTTTGGACTTCAACTCCCATAACTCCTACCAACTGGAGGAAATCTGAAGTTTGCTCATGCCTGGTTTATTATCTCCCTGAATCTTGTCTTGAGGTAGCCTCAGTATTCTTTATTCAAGAGTGGCCTTGAGATTGAATGTCTTGAGATTGGGCTTTCCTGTATCTGGGTTTAAAGTGTGAAGTGCTATCACTTTTTGGGAGAAGTGCCTGTAAAACAGAATAGCCGATAAACTTTGGACCTCTCTTTTCTGTTTTAGAGAATTTACCATGGCAGAAATTGAGCATTTTGTGGATCCCAATGAGAAAGATCACCCTAGGTTCCAGAATGTAGCAGATCTCCACATCCTCCTGTATTCCTCCAAGGCCCAGACCAGTGGGCAGTCTGCTCGGGTCATGCGCCTGGGGGATGCTGTTGAGCAGGTAACCCAGCCAAGGATATGCCATAGTGATAGGCCAACAACAACTGTGTTGGTTTTCCTTTTTGACTTTGTCCAGGCCTAGGTGGGGTCAGAGCTTGGCCAGAATTCTATCTCATTTTTTTTTTTAAAAAATGCATGTTTACACCAGTCAGAAAACATTGACTGTTGAATTCTCCAGAAACACAGTATCTCCTTACTTTAAGAAAACCTCAAATTAGGAATTTTTGTCAAATTCTTTGCACCTTGCCTTGTTTAATCTGTGAGTTCCTGGTGCACTTCCAAATCATGTCATTTGAAACCAGAAATACATTTAATGGTGACATCTTTATTAAGCCATGCAAAAAAACCCAACTTTTTTTTTGGGGGGGGGGTGACTTAATAAATCATTACAATGTGGACTTTGAGTGTTGTTTTATGATCAACTTTTTATTTGTATTCTGTTGGAATATTTCTAAAATTTTTGCCTAACCCAGTTTTTCTTATTTAATACTGTGGAGGGTGTCTTTTATATTTACCACACATGGTTTTTGCTGTACCAGCAATGTATATTATCTCATAGCAACTTTTGACCCCCTTTATTGATCCTTCCTTGAATCTTCTTTGTTCTCTCAGGGCGTAATCAATAACTCGGTGCTGGGTTACTTCATTGGCCGCATCTACCTCTACCTTGTAAAAGTCGGCATCTCCCCAAACATGCTGCGCTTCCGGCAGCATATGGAGAACGAGATGGCTCATTATGCTTGTGACTGCTGGGATGCAGAGTCCAAAACATCCTATGTAAGTGATTTGATGGCACAGGAGATTTTTACGTTCGTTGGGGTCAGGGCCAGTGAGGAGCAGTGGAGTTTACGCCTTATCGAAAATATTCTAGGACAGCAAGGTGCTACTGTTTCAGTAGGTCATGTCCTAGGATTTTAGTTTTAGTTGTGGACAAACTGCCTCTTGAGGCATGGAGGCACTTGCGATTTGAAAACCAGTTTAGAAAATTGTTATCCAAGACAAGGCAACTTGTTTCTTGCTGTTTCAATACCTGCATTGTTACATTCCATCCTTTTTAGCTAAATGTGCAAACATATTCCTGATAGGTTGCTGTGAGTTTTTCGGGCTGTCTGACCATGTTCCAGAAGCAATATCTCCTGATGTTTCGCCCACATCTATGACAGCTATCTTTATAGGTTGTGAGGTCAGTTGGAAACTAGGAAAATGGGACTGTGGCACAGCTGGCTGAGTGTCAGCTGCATTAAGATCACTTCTGACCAAAAGGTCATGAGTTCGAAGCCAGTCCGGGTTGGAGTGAGCTTCCGACAAATTGTGTAGCTTGTTCTCGGCCTTTGCAACTCGAAAGACAGTTGCATCTGTCAAGTAGGAAAATTAGGTACCACCTATGTGTGGGGAGGCTAATTTAACTAATTTACGAGGCCAAAAAAATAACTCCAGCAAAAAGCATGCGGGGAATGCAGAAAGTATTTCATAAGTGTCACAGATGGACGATGAAAGCAACAGCTCCCCTGGCGGCCAGAAAAGCCTCTGACTGTCTGTCTATATCTGTTGTGTGTCTTTGGCATTGAATGTTTGCCATATATGTGTACATTGTAATCTGCCCTGAGTCCCCTGCAGGGTGAGAAGGGCGGAATATAAATACTGTAAATAAATAAATAAAACATCTGTGGAATAATGTCCATTGTGAGAGAAAGAGCTGTTATCTGCTTGAGGCCAGTGTGAATGTTGCAGTTGGCCACCTTGATTAGCATTTAATGGCCTTGCATCTTCAAAGCCTGGCTGGTTGTTTCCTGGGGAGATCCTTTGTTGGGAGGTGTTAGCTGGCCCTTATTGGTTCTTGTCTGGAATTCCTCTGTGTTTTATTTACTTACAAGCATGTGGACAATTTCAACAGAAAGGACTATGGAAATGAACAAATCTGGCCATCAGTATTTAAAAACTCTAAAATCAAGACAATTAACAAAGAAGTACACTCAAACAATAGGGGAATTCCAGACAAGAATCAATCAGGGGTAGCTAACTTCTCCCAACAAAGGATCCCCAGGCAGCAATAAGCCAGGCTTTGCAACTACAAGGCCATTGAATGCTAAGTTCTTTCTCCCACCTTGGACATTATTCCACAGCTATATAAACCCAATTTTCCTAGTTTCCAACAGACCTCCGAACCTCTGAGGATGCCTGCCATAGATGTAGTGGAAACGTCAGGAAAGATTGCCTCTGGAATATGGCCAGATAGCCCGGAAAACTCACAGCAACCCAGAGATTCCAGCCATGAAGCCTTCGACAACATATTCCTGATGGTTCTTAAGAGTACAAAATAGTTTTTAAATCTTTCAAACAAAGCTGCACACTTCATATTTTTGGTTCACACATCACGAGGCAGCTCTTCCAGGGTTTTTTTTTCAAACTTGTTTTTATGCACACTCCTAGTATAGTTTGAGCAAATGTCATGAAGGGACAGGGCTACTTAAGCATAGAAGCCTGGTGAAATGGGTACCCCAGATACAGGTCAAGCTCACAATCACCTTTCAGTGGTACTTCGAAATGCATCCAGCATTGCAAGTAACTGTATCTGGGCTTTTTTCAGGGGTGGATTGAAATTGTTGGCTGTGCTGACCGTTCCTGCTATGACCTCTCCTGCCATGCCAGAGCCACCAAAGTTCCTCTCGTAGCTGAGAAGCCTCTGAAGGAACCCATATCCTTTCGAAACTGAAACCAGTATTTTGCAAGCTTGGTGCTTTCTCTTTGTGAATTGGGTGTGGAGGGTCTCTGGATCCAGATAATGGATTTAGAAGGGAATTTCCAAGCCCTATTCTTGATCCACATGTTCTTCTACAGTGAGGGCATTGATTTGTAGGTGGAAGGCGATCCTGGTCAGGGTTGGCTTGACGTGCCTTCCTCTTGGCACATTTCTCCTTTTCTCCCTCCATTCATGGAGTCTCAACCAATTCAACATATAGTTTGTGGCAGCTACAAAAATGAAGTTTCTGGAGTATAACAACTACTTTCAAAGCAAGTACTGCACAATTAAGCAGAAAATAACCCTTTCAAACCTACAGAATGAAGCATCTTCCCACCCCTAAATCCCATGGTTCCTCCCTGTTGGGCTCCTCTCCTACAAATGCACTTTTACTCCTAACTCACCCAGGGTTTAAACTTTTTAACATTTTAGCTCATATATTTGGCCTGCCCTCTGTGTCTGGTTTTACTATGCTGTTTTATATTATTGATTTTGTTATTTCATATTTTGTTATGATGTATTTTGTTATTGTGTGTATATTATGTTGTATTATTTTGGGCTTGGCCTCATGTAAGCCGGCCCGAGTCCCCTTTGGGGAGATAGTGGCAGGTTATAAATAAAGTGTTTTGTTGTTGTTGTTGTTATTATTATTAACCGGCAACAGAAGAGTTTTCTAATTTTGATACATAGGGCAATGCAATGTTCTGCTATCTGTGTTTTACTTGTGACCTTTTGGATTTTGTATATTGTATGACATGTCTGTATGAAAGGATTCTGAACCCATTTCTTTGAGTATTCACACCAAAGCTCTGAAGCCCTTTTGTTCTATATAGCACTTAGGTTAGGTCAAGGTTTCCTCTGACATTAAATCTAGTTGTGTCCGACTCTGGGGGTTGGTGCTCATCTCCATTTCTAAGCCGAAGAGCCGGTGTTGTACATAGACACCTCCAAGGTCATGTGGCCAGCATGGCTGCATGGAGTGCTGTTAACCTTCCTGCTGGAGCGTACGGTACCTATTGGTCTACTCACATTTGCATGTTTTCGAACTGCTGGGTTGGCAGAAGCTGGAGCTAACAGTGGGAACTCACACCGCTCCCCGGATTTGAACCTGTGACTTTTGAGTCAGTAGGTTCAGCAGCTGAGCTGTTTAACCCACTGCACAACCAGGGGCTCCTAAGGATAAAACTATTTAAAGAAATGACAGATTTGGTAGCAGAAGCAGTACTAATCTTTGGGGCATGACTTATTAGAACAAAATCTGCTGCTTCCTTTTATGTTCCTTAACGTTCCCTGCACAGAACAGCAAATGTTGTTCAGTTTGAGGCAAATAAGGGAACAATTGGCAAGGCTTATAAGAAGGATGCCAAGCTGGTGTTGGAATACCTTTCCATCTGCGATGAATGTTACATCTGTGAGATGGAGAAACTATTGAATGAAAAAGGGTAAGTTTCGTCCTTCTGTTTGTTCATCCTATAAGGGGCCAGCTTTTTCTGCCAAGAATATTGTTTATAGATCTTGTTAAATCTAGGAGGTTTCTTCCAAGGTTTAATCAGCTCCACTGGCTGCCAGTTTGTTACCGAGCACAATTCAAAGTGCTGGCTTTAGCCTATAAAGCCCTAAACTGTTCAGGCCCAGCTTCCCTATCCGAACATATCTCCCTCTATGAACCATCATGGAGATTAAGATCTGGGGTGGCTCTCTTTTCGGTCCCGCCTCAGTCATAAGTGCGGTTGGGGAGGATGAAAGACAGGACCTACTCAGTGGTGGCTCCTTGACTCTAGAATCCTCTTCCCAGTAAGATTAGATCAGCATCCTCCCTCCTGGCCTTTAGAAAGAAAACAAAGACATGGTTGTAGGACCAAGCCTTTGGCTAGTAAAATAATGCAGTGCAAAGAACAATTAGGAAATATGTGTAATCACAATTGGAACGGTTACGGTGTACGATTTTTGGATCATGAGATTTTAATATTTATATTAAAATGTTTTAATGCTTTCTTTTATTGTTTAAATGTTGTTTATGTCTCATGTTTAATGATTTTTATTTATGGTTTTATATGTTAGTGTTTCGTTATTATGATTTTTCTTTTTACATGTATATTTATTTATTTACTATATTTGTATACTGCCCTCAGTCTTTTGGGCTACTCAGGGCAGTTCCATTGCATTTTTGCTATTGGTATGTTAAAAGCTGCCTTGAGTCCCCGTCCCGTCCCCCGTCCCCCCCGGCCGGGGTGAGAAAGGCTGTATATAAACATAGCAAATAAGTAAATAAATAAATAGATCACAAGCTGAACATGATACCAGTGTTTAGTATCAAGATCAAGGGACGTCATAGTGAGAAAGGCGGTGAGAAAGGGGGGAGAAAGGTGGTATATAAATATAGTAAATAAATCTATATAAATAAAAATGTAGTGTTCGTTTGTGGGATTAATATAACTCAAAAACCACTGGACTAATTGACATGAAATTTAGACACAAGACACCTATCAGGCCAACAAGTGACCCATCACTCATAAAAACACTGAATAACACAACAGAAGGGACTTAAAAGGCCAAAAAAGCAAAAAGACGCTACAGCGTATGCGCAAAAACAACTCCCCCGGCAAACAAAACACACAAAAGCATATCCACACTCTCTTTTGGACTACAGCTCCCAGCATCCCCTAGATCAGTCCCTTTAGGGAAGGAGGATGCTCCAAATGCACTGCTTCCAAGCTGCAAACTTGCTTGCCCTTGTATTTCTTTGAGAGCATCTCAATCCATACATATTTCCTATTCCTGGACTGCAACTCCCAGCAATCCTCCAGATAGATAAGATATATAGATTAGGTAGAGATAGATAGTAGGTAGATAGATCAATCAGGAAGACTTCTGGGGGTTTCCAGGAATAGATAGAGAAAGAAGAAAGGAGAGAAAGAAAAAGGGAGGGGGAAGAAGGAGAGAAGGAAAGAAAAGAAAGGGAAGGAAGGAAGGAAAGAGAGAGGAAAGGAAGGATGGAGAGAAAGAAAGGAGAGAAAGACGGAGGGAAGATCACAGCAATGCGTGACGGGTAAAGCTAGTAAATAAATAAAATAATAAATTCCATTTGTTAAAATATCTAGATATTCTTGGCAATAAGAGTAACATCAATTGACTGAACACGTCACATGGTTAGTGGTACTATTCTGAAATGTCTTTTCTTTCTGGGTTGCTGTGAGTTTTCTGGGCTGTATGGCGAGAAAATTCCAGCCATGAAAGCTTTTGACAATACATTTCTTTCTTTTTTCTTTTGTAGGGAATTTACTATTGAAACTGAAGGGAAAACTTTTCAATTAACAAAGGACATGGTCAGTGTGAAGAGATTCCAGAAGACATTACATGGTAAACATCCCCCTCCCCACTATCTTTTAAGGTCATATTGGCAGATATTCATCTTAGGTTTATTGGTTTATTGAGTTGATTATAGGCATGTTCTGCTTTTCTCTTAATTTGGGACTCAGCTACCAATTAGCTACCAAGAATTTGGGAGCATTGTAAAAGCCAGATTTTATTTAGATTGTGTTTTCTGTGGCTATTGTCAACTGCATGAGGTTCACTATAGACCAGGCATGGGCAGACTTTGTCCCTCCAGGTATTATGGAGTTCAACTCCCACAATTCCTAACAGCCTGCAATTCCTAACACCTGGAGGGACAAAGTTTGTCCATGCCTGGTACAGGCCAATTGCTATATTTTTATTGATTAGAGCGCCAGTGCTCATCACAGGATCTCCATCTCTAAAGCATCTATTGTCTTTTTTGACATTTTCATGTACTATCACTGCAGAATTAGGACCCAAAATTAGGCTCATTGGAGTGACCACACATAAATAATTCCTTTTGACCTGTTTCTATCTTCTTTTGGTTCCCAGTGGAAGAAATAGTTCCCAATGTAATCGAGCCTTCGTTTGGTATCGGAAGAATCATGTATACAGTATTTGAGCATACATTCCGTATCCGGGAAGGAGATGAGCAGCGAACGGTAGGATTTTCTGTGCTCGGAAGACAGGCAAAAAAGGAGAGCTCCTATTTCCTAATGCAGACCATCCCAATGTCGGCCTTGCCCTCAGGAAGTGCCCCCTAATATTTATTTATTTATGACATTTATATGCCACCCTTCTCACCCTGAAGGGGACTCAGCGGCTTACAAGTTATATGTACATGCAATATATTATATTATTAGCATAGCACAATATTAGTATTATATATTACTATATTGTACTATACCACTATACTGTAATTTTATTAGTAATATTACACATAATATAAATATATAATTATATTGTATTATTAGTAGTAGTATATTGTATTACATTATAATATTATCAATATTATATATGTATACAATATATTATATTATTAGAACAGCACAATATTAGTATTATATATTACTATATTGTACTATACCACTATACTGTAATATTATTAGTAATATTACATGTAATATAAATATATAATTATTATGTATTCTTATTAGTATTATATTGCATTGCATTATAATATTATTATCAATATTATATGTGTATACGATATATTAGTTTATGCAGAATCTCTTTCTTTGGAGTTGGATTTCAAGGAAAGAGATTCCCTCTGAGCATTAGAAAAAAATGGCAAGATCTAAAGGCAACGTGAATATTATCAGTTTATTCACACATTTTGTTTTTTGTTGTTGAATGTTCCAAACTTCGGGATGTTTTTTACTTACTTTCCCTCCAACTCACTATCTCTGTTGTGTTCTTTCTATTCCAGTACTTCAGCTTCCCTGCTGTCGTGTCGCCATACAAATGCTCTGTCCTTCCCTTGAGCCAAAACCAGGAATTCATACCATTTGTGAAGGAATTAGGTGAGTAGCCCTGATATTTGCAGGGCTTTGAGGAAACGAGGAGTTAGATTTCATTGAGGAACTACAGGGAAAGGAGATTTTACAACCCCCAGCAGTAACTGCCTGGAAACCCATTCTGAACCTTTGATAGAGGAAGTAATTTGAATAGGAACTTGTAATCTAGTTGTGGGCAATTAGATCCTATAAATTTTGTTATGTCCTGTGCTTCATTGTTGAGTCCCAGAACAGGAAGTAAAAAGACTGGGAAACCAATTAATTCAGATACCTGCTTCCCTTTTGTCATTGATACCTTTTTATTCTCTTACTAGCTTTGGTACCTAGTGTTGTCTGGATTTATTTGAAAAAGTCATTTTTTAAAATTTTACAAAATGCATGAAGTTGTTGGTGAACTACAACTCACATCATGCCAGGTTAACCCCCGAAACTCCATCAGTAGTTAACGTTTGTCATGTTAGTCAAGTTTGCTCTAGATGCATCATTGGTGAGGTTCAGTATGATCTCTGGCTGCAGGATAAACTACAGCTCCCGCCATGGTGGGTCAGTCCCCTCAAATCCCTACAGTAGGTTTCAGTTGGTCATAGGGATTCTGTGTACCAAGTTTGGTCCAGATCTGGCATCAGTGGTTGTCACAGTGTCTCTGGATGTCAGTGAACTACAACTTCCATAAATGAAGGTCTGTTTCCCCCAAACCCCGCCAGTATTTTCAGTTGGTCATGGGGGTTCTTGTCCAGGGTGATCGTTGGTGGGGTCCAGAGTGCTCTTAGATTGCAGGTGAACTATAAATCCTTACAATGACTATAAATCAATGTGAATTCCCCTCAAACCTCTCCAGTGTATTTCTTAGATCGCGGGGGTTCTGTGTGCCAAATGTGGTCCAGGTCCATTGTCAGTGAAAGTGACAGTTCTCTGACAATGCAGGGTGAACTACAACTTCCATCATGTGGAGTCAATCCCCTAAACTTCCATTATGTTTAGATGCTGATTAGTTCTGCTCTATTGTGCAGACAGAGTTGAAAAGAGTAGGCAAGGGTTAAAGGTGAGGCAGTGGGTGGGATCACGCAAATTCCTCACCAGTGGAGTGAGTAAGAAACACTGGGATTTCTGTGGTGGAGGAAACATGTAAAATCTAGGATGAAATTGTCCATGAAAGAAAGCATTCCTTGGGTGGTGGGCAGTATGGTGTTTGGGGATGACATTGGCAGAGGCTGGGCTACATGTTCATGGCGCTCGCTATAACATGAAATGTCATTGGAGGAAGGGCTTTTAACCAGCCCTGTGGGTTAAAGCTGTTTGTGGAAGTGGGAGCCTGTCTGGAAGTGGGTACCCCAGCCACACATACACACACATTTTCACTTTTATTATGGATATAGATTAGTATTAGGACAAACATCGGGTAGGCATGATAAACCTTTGCACCTTAGGTTTCCACCAAAAGAAGAAATTATTATTGCATATTGTGTGCTTTTGGAACCAAGAAAAGGGAGCATTGATTTGCCAGATATCATACACTGCAACTGTCATGCCTTTTACCTTGATCACCCTGGGAGTGGAACTGTAGCTCAAAGCAACTTGACAACTGTTTACCTACTACTACCTTGAAATATATAACTTTTTTCCCTTTTATTCCTGGGAGGTGAATTACAAATTGCACTTCCAAGAATAATAGACTTGTACTTGATGCAGAGTTTCTATTAGCAATGTTTTAGGAAACACTTGTGCCTTCCGTGCCCACTTTTTTCCATGTCAGGAGTGACTTGAGAAACTGCAAGTCGTTTCTGGTGTGAGAGAATTAGTTGTTTGCAAGGATGTTGCTCAGGGGACGCCCCCATGGTTTACCATCCTGTGGGAGGCTTTACCCATTTCCTCGCATGAGAAGCTGGAGCTTTTGTGTGTGTGTGTGTGTCAGGAACGACTTGAGAAACTGCAAGTCGCTTCTGGTGTGAGAGAATTGGCTGTCTGCAAGGACGTTGCCCAGGGGACGCCTGGATGATTTGATGTTTTTATCATCCTTGTGGGAGGCTTCTCATGTCCCCGCATGAGGAGCTGAAGCTGATAGAGGGGGTTCATCCACCTCTCCCCAGATTCGAAGCTGCGACCTGCCGGCACAGGGGTTTAACCACCGGGGGCTCCAAGCTGGAGCTGACACAGGAGCTCACCAGATTTGAACTGCCGACCTTTTGGTCAGCAGTCCTGCCGGCACAAGGATTTAACCTATTGCTCCACCGAGGGCTCCTTCTGTGTCCATGTCTTCCATTGTCAAAGACTCACCAAGCCAATAAGAATCTCCTTCTTTTCCTCTTACTTTTCAACAGCGGAAGCTCTTACCCGAAACGGAGTCTCCCACAAAGTGGATGACTCTTCCGGGTCCATCGGCAGGCGCTATGCCAGAACGGATGAGATCGGGGTGGCTTTCGGGATCACAATTGACTTCGACACAGTCAACAGGACGCCGCACACAGCCACCTTAAGGGATCGCGACTCCATGCGCCAGATCCGGGCCGAGGTGGGATATCCGTGCGTAGGGTGTGGCAGCGAGAGTCTCAAAACGTAATCCATGCTCAATCCTTGCTCAGGCCATGCTCAGAATGGATTAAGTGGTGGATCTGTGTGGAGACAAAGGAAGCCTCAAATATGCCCCGCTGAGTGGAAGTTAGAAGGGGGAAAAAGACCAACCGGTTTATTCTACAGTCAGTGGGGAATAGTTGCAGTGGGGAAGAGAGTGGGTGTAGCAATATCTTTTTCTGAAAGGTTCTCGTCACAGCCTTCTGATTTACTAGATTTGGAGTAAGCCAGAGATGGACAAGAGTGGGAGGCTACGAGGTTGCATGCATGCATGCATGCATATATATATATATATATATATATATAACAGTATTTATATTCTGCCCTTCTCACCCCACAGGGGACTCAGGGCATGCATGCATATATATTTTGTATTTATATTCTGCCCTTCTCACCCCGCAGGGGACTCAGGGCGGATTACAATGTACACATATATGGCAAACATTTAATGCCAAAGACACACAACAGATATAGACAGACAGACAGAGGCTATTTAACTTTTTCTGGCCACCAGGGGAGCCGTCGTTTTCATCATCCATCTGCAACACTTATGAAGTACTTCCGCATTCCCCGCATGCTTTTGCTGGAGTCTTTTTTTATGGCCTCGTAAATTAGTTAAATTAGCCTCTCCACACATAGGTGGTACCTAATTTTCCTACTTGACAGATGCTACTGTCTTTCGGGTTGCAAAGGTCGACAACAAGCTACACAATTGGTCAGAAGCTCACTCTGACCCGGGCTGGCTTCGAACTCATGACCTTTTGGTCAGAAGTGATCTTAATGCAGCTGACACTCAGACAGCTGTGCATTCACCCTCTTCACAAGACTTTGGCAGCTTTGGCACAGCAAAAAACTTCCCGAAAGGCTCAAAATATCTAGGAGCCACCAAAAAAACCTGCAAAAATGCAACTGTAGGGTCCCTAGATGGCATTTGGAGACTTTTAAACACTTTTGTTGATACCCGAGGGCTGCATGGGCCAAATAAAATGCCAACATTGGGACAAACTGAGGTCTGTGACAACCCAAATTGGAAAGGAGCCCCAAGAGGTGAGATTTGTTAAAAGTCCTGCCCGGTCATGTATTTCAGAGTACGAAATTCTAGAAGAAGGGCTCAAGAAACTCAGGAAGTCTTGGGTCCTTTTGTATTGACCTTTTGAACAGGCCTTTGAGGGAAGACAGAACCCAAAGGGGAAGTTCCATTGTTTGAGAATATTTAGTCGTGTGATTCTACTTCCAGTTTCAAATGTTACAGATCCGTGAGGGGTTTTAATAGCTATAAATAGGTTTTTAATCAGTTTTAGGGGTTTTTATCTATTTTTAATACTGTTCATGTTTAATTCCATATTAATGTTTCTATATTTTTTTAGGTTTTGTATTATATTGTATTGGTTTTGTTGTGAGCTGCTTTGAATCTATTTTAGGGAGAAAAAGTGGGATGTAGATTATATTTTTCCATGTCAGGAGCGATTTGAGAAACTTCAAGTTGCTTCTGGTGTGAGAGAATTGGCTGTCTGCAAAGACGTTGCCCAGGGGACGCCTGGATGTTTCACCATCCTGTGAGAGGCTTCTCTCATGTTCCCACGTGGGAAGCTGGAGCTGACAGATGGGAGCTCATCCCGCCCCCCCAGATTCAAACCGCCAACCTTTTGGTCAGCAGTCCTGCCGGCACAAGGGTTTAAAACATTGCGCCACTGGGGGCTCCAATGGGATATAGATGATGATGATGATGATGACAATGACGATTTAACATGATATTATGTTGGTTTGGCCTGTCATCATTCCTGGTGAGTGAAATGTGTCTCATCAAAGTCTACTTCCTCTTCCTGTTTCCAGATCTCTGAGCTTCCTGTCATAGTCCGGGACCTTGCCAATGGTCACATAACCTGGTCTGACGTGGAGGCCAAGTATCCACTCTTTGAGGGACAAGAAACTGGCAAAAAGGAGACAATAGGGGAATAAAGCCAATTACGTGAAATTCAAAACTTATGAATGAAGAAGTCCACTTTTTACCGTTCATGTAATACGAAATTTATCATGTGTATTCTTCAAAGCGGCGTCATTTGCGCTCCCAGGGACTTTCCGGTTACTCCCCTTCCCCCTCATCCATTGCTGCCTAATTTTAAGTCTCATCTCCAGAAACCACAATTAAAATGAATGAAAATAAACAGCCACATTGGTTTGCTTTGACTGTCTCTTTTAAGGCTTCCTTTCAATGAGAGATCGTTGGTATTGCCGCCGCAATTAAATGTTCGGTCTGTTTATTTCAACGAGTGGTTTCGTCCATCAGTCTTTTAAGATAAATACTTTGTTGACATATTTCAGCTGGCTCACGATATAAGAATCAAATTCCAGAGGGATTACATTGACTGACAATACAATTTTCTTCTGAATTCAAGATGATTTTATTTATTTATCGTGTCAGGAGAGAACCAAACAGCTGTATTGCATTTTTAAACAAAAAAACAAACAAAGCACAAAGTTTGCAAGCTTGGTAGTTGATTAAATGTCCTTTGACCAGTATCTGGCCACTTGGAGTGCCTCTGGTGTGACTATAAGAAGGTCCTCCATTGTACATGTAGCAGGGCTCAGGTTGCGTTGCAGCAGGTGGTCTGTGGTTTGCTCTTCTCCACACATGCATGTCGTGGATTCCACTTTTCTGAAGGTTGGCTCTGCATCTCGTGGTGCCAGAGTGCAGTCTGTTCAGCACCTTCCAAGTCGCCCAATTTCCTGTGTGCCCAGGGGGGAGTCTCTCATTTGGTATCAGCCATTGATTGAGGTTCTGGGTTTGAGCCTGCCACTTTTGGATTCTCGCTTGCTGGGCTGTTCCAGCAAGTGTCTGTAGATCTTAGAAAACTATTTCTTGATTGAAGTCAGCGTGCTGGGGATACCAAACAGGGTATGCCAAGAAAGGAATCACTTCAAAGCACCACCAACAGATGACCGCCCAGCCTCTGTTTAAAAGCTCCAAAGAAGGAGCCTCCACCACACTCTGGGGCAGGGAGTTCCACTGCTGAACAGCTCTCACAGTCAGGAAGTTCTTCCTCATGTTCAGATGGAATCTCCTTTCTTGTAGTTTGAAGCCATTGTCTGCATCCTAGTCTCCAGCTTGCTCCCTCCTCCCTGTGACTTCCTCTCACATTTATACATGGCTATCATGTCTCCTCTCAGCCTTCTCTTCTTCAGGCTAAACATGCCCAGCTCTTTAAGCCGCTCCTCATAGGGCTTGTTTTCCAGACTCTTGATCCTTTGAGTCGCCCTCCTTTGGACACATTCCAGCTTAGAATCAATTGTGGTGCCCAGAATTGGACACAGTGTGATTCCAGGTGTGGTGTGACCAAGGCAGAATAGAGGGGGAGCATGACTTCCTTGGAACTAGACACTAGACTCCTATTTATGCAGGCCAAAATTGAGCATTGAGAGTTGGGTCTGTTCATGATGTGTGCCTTCAAGTCATTAGAGGAACCAAAAGTGAACCTATAATGGAAGTTTTCAGGGGCTGAGAGAGTGTGTCTCACCAAAGTGGGTTTTCTGGACAAGCAGAGACTTGAACTCTGGTCTCCGGATTCGTAGTCCCAATGCTGAAACCATTACATTGTGCAGCCTTACTATATCGTATAAAAGTGCATGTTTTTCATGATGTACCGTACCATATTTCCAGCAGAGGGTACTGCAGGTTTTGATGTACTAATGGCCTCTGCTACATTTTGAGAAAGAGACCGACTCCCTCGCAATTTCATCAAGTCCATCTCCGTCTCATAGAAGCACAAATAGCCCCAGAGCAGAAGCAGCAGTCGAAATGCACCCTAGGACTTTTCCTGCTGTGTAGCCTTGAATTTTGGCACTTCCTTGCGTGGATTGGGCTACTAAGGCACTTAAGATAGAATTCCCTACAAAATCTGTGCTTGTCAAGACTTGCTTTAGCATCTCATACTTGGCATTTCAGAGCAGTGGCTAACATCCAATTGCTACACTAGCAGAGCTAAAAGATTAAAACATTAAGTTTGCGAAGGATTAAAATATAATATTTTTAAAAAACATGATGGAAAGATGACAAAATATATTTAAAAACATTCCCATTGGAAGAAATCAAAAGAGCACAGCACAGCCACACTCTTCATTCATTCTTGACTTAGTGGTGACCCCAAAGCAAACCTATTAATGGGTTTTTCGGAGCAAGATATGTTAAGAAGAGGCTGAGAGAGTGTGACTTGCCAAGGTTACCCAACAGGTTTCTAGGTTAAATTCATGATTCAACTCCTGCTCTGCAGAGTTGAAGGCCCAAACATTTATGATTTATGCTTTTTGTTGTTTATTCGTTCAGTCACTTCCGATTCTTCATGACCTCATGGACCAGCCCACGCAGAGCTCCCTGTCACCTGTCACCACCACCAACTCCTTCAGAGTCAAGCCATTCACTTCAAGGATACCATCAATCCACCTTGCTCTAGTCGGCCCCTCTTCCTTTTTCTTTCCATTTTCCCCAGCATCATTCTCTTCTCCAAGCTTTCTTGTCTTCTCATGATGTGGCCAAAGTACTTCATCTTTGCCTCTACTATCCTTCCCTCCAATGAGCAGTTGGGCTTTATTTCCTGAAGCATGGACTGGTTGGATCTTGTGGTCCAAGGCACTCTCAGAATTTTCCTCCAACACCACAGTTCAAAAGCATCTCTCTTCCTTCTCTCAGCCTTCCTTATGGTCCAGCTCTCACATCCATAGGTTACTACGGGGAACACCATTGCTTTAACTGTGCGGATCTTCGTTGCCACTGTGATGTCTCTATTCTTTACATTTTATCGAGATTGGCCATTGCTCTCCTCCCAAGAAGGAAATAATAATAATAATAATAATAATAATAATAATCCTTTATTTATACCCCGCTACCATCTCCCGCAGGACTCGGTGCGGCTTACAAGAGGCCGAGCCCAAATACATCATAAAACATAACAATAACAATACAACAATAAATAACTCATAACAAAGCAAAAGAATACAATAATGACATGATGCAATTAAAAACCTGTGGCAGGGCCAAATGTAAGAATTAAAATTTTAAAATGCTGGTCATGTCCAGGGAAATAGGTTGGATATTTTAAAGATAGGTGGGCGTGCAGACAGTACTAACTCTCGTAAAGTGCATTTGGGGCATATTGCTTGGGAGTCCTTATTCTGGGAAGGCACACTGGAACATCCACGTCTTCAAGCTCCTTCTAAAAACTGCCAGCGTTGGGGCCTGCCTGATGTCCTTGGAGAGGGAGTTCCAGAGTCGTGGGGCCACCACCAAAAAGGCCCTGTCCCTCGTCCCCACCAATCATGCTTGCGATGCAAGTGGGATCGTGAGCAGGGCCTCTCCAGATGAACGAAGAGATCGTGTGGGTTCGTATATGGAAATGCGGTCATGCAGGACAAAGAGGGAGCAGAAGAGAAAACTGGCAAAAGAAGGCTCTCCATGGACAGTTCCTGGGAAAAATTGAGAGCCAAATTGACAAAGAAAAAACATGGCTGTGGCTCACAAATGGAACTTTGAAAAAGGAGACGAAGGGCCTGATTCTGGCGGCCCAAGAACAAGCCATTAGAATCAATGCCATCAAAGCCAGAATTGAAAAGTTGACAACAGATCTCAGATGTAGACTCTGCAAGGAAGCAGATGAAACAATAGATCACATCCTCAGCTGTTGCAGAAAGATCGTGCAGACAGACTACAAGCAGAGGCACAACACCGTTGCTCAGATGATTCATTGGAACTTGTGCCACAAAGACCATATGCTTGCGACAAAGAACTGGTGGGATCACAAGCCGGAAAAAGTTACAGAGAATGAACATGCCAAGCTCCTCTGGGACTTCCGGATTCAGACAAACAGAGTTTTGGAGCACAATACTCCTGATGTCACAATCGTGTTAAAAAACAAAGTATGGATTGTCAATGTTGCAATCCCAGGCGACAGCAGGATTGAAGGGACACAACTGGAAAAGCTGACATAATATGAGGATTTAAAGATAAAACTGCAAAGACTGGCACAAGCCAGTCAAGGTGGTCCCAGTGGTGATTGGCACACTGAGTGTAGTGCCTAAAGACCTTGGCCTGCACTTAAACACAATTGGCGCTGACAAAATTACCATCTGCCAGCTACAAAAGGCCACCTTACTGGGATCTGCACGCATTATTCACCGATACATCACACAGTCCTAGACACTTGGGAAGTGTCCGATGTGTGATCCAATTCAACAGCCAGCAGAGTGTCTGCTGTGGACTCATCTTGTTGTGTTTCAAATAATATTTAATAACAACAACAACAACAACAACAACAACAACAACAACGACACTTTATTTATATTCCACTCTATCTCCCCAAAGGGACTCAGGGTGAATTCCAAACATAAAAGGCAAACATTCAATGCCCGAATACAACAACAATACATCCATAGTAACAAAATGTATACAATCCAAAATATAAATATGAATTATAACATAACAAACTTAAATTAAATAAATAGCACAGCCTGTTATAACAGACGTAAGACAAAACATCAAACATAAAATGGAAACAATAATTTCCCATTTCTTTGGGGCAAATCGATTAATCATTGCTCAAGATATCTATTGAGCTGGTGGGGTGAGCAGGGCATGGATATGGATGGCAACTATTAATCAGAGGTATCTGGAGAACAAACCCTATGAGGAGCGGCTTAAGGAGCTGGGCATGTTTAGCATGAAGAAGAGAAGGCTGAGAGGGGATATGATAGCCATGTATAAATATGTGAGAGGAAGCCACAGGGAGGAGGGAGCAAGCTTGTTTTCTGCTTCCCTGGAGACTAGGACGCGGAACAATGGCTTCAAACTACAAGAGAGGAGATTCCATCTGAACATGAGGAAGAACTTCCTGACTGTGAGAGCCGTTCAGCAGTGGAACTCTCTGCCCCGGAGTGTGGTGGAGGCTCCTTCTTTGGAAGCTTTTAAACAGAGGCTGGATGGCCATCTGTCAGGGGTGATTTGAATGCAATATTCCTGCTTCTTGGCAGGGGGTTGGACTGGATGACCCATGAGGTCTCTTCCAACTCTTTGATTCTATGATTCTATTATTCTAAATACAAAGTCTGTCACTGCCTCCACGTTTTCTCCCTCTATTTGCCAGTTATCAATCAGATTGATGCTTAGGAATATATACCATTTCCC